CAGAATCGTCAGGTCTGGACGCCCTTAGCGAGGGGCTTCAGGTCTCCTGCTAGGGCTTTCCCAAATAAGGTTGGGGAGTTCTTAAACCCCTGGGGCAGTCTGGTCCAAGTTAATTGAGTCTTGACTGCTGTGTGCAGATTTTTCCATTCGAAGGCAAAAATGGGTTCTCTGGAAGGTGCCACAGGAATGCAGGAGAAGGCATCCTTCAGATCAAGGCAGGTAAACCACGTTGCTGTTGGGGGAAGCTGGCTTAGGAGGGTGTATGGGTTCGGGACGACTGGGTAGAGGGTGACGGCTGCTTCGGTGACAAGCCCGCAGATCCTGGATGGGCCGGTACCCACTCCCGTCCAGCTGCCATCATAGGTCTGGGCAGGTGTGGCCCCATGTTATGGAGCTAATTTTCTCTGAGCTCCCACGCAGGTGCTGTAACTCGGGGGACTTCCCTCCCAGTCACATCTTGGGCAGGGGGAATCTTTCTTTATTTCCTTGACCCAGAGTATGGCCACAGCTATTGAGCATATCTAAGTGACCAGCCAAAGGCTATAGGTATGTCAAATGACTATGCCATGGATTAGCTGTAAAGCTGTTGCTGTACAAAACAGCCCTGCATGTTCTTGCTCTGTGTGTCCCTCCCCCAACTCACACCTGTGGGGGAAGGGGTGAAGACATCTTAAAATCTGGATGCCTTGAGTTCTGGACCCCATTTTAAATGCCCATTTGGGGTCCCCTCTCTTGGCTGCACCCTGTAACAATCTCTCATTTCAGATATGCACTCACTTTAAATTCTTTTAAAGGACAATAGACGAAGGTCTTATCGTCTTGTAACTACTTCTGGCTGGAAATGGACGTTGTCCTACCTATCCGTGGGTCAGGGATGCCCTGAGGGGGGGGGGTGCAGCACAGAGGGAGTCTTTCCTGTAAGCAGAAGGACCTTACAGAATCCTGGTGAGTTGGCTGTCCCCAGAAAGTTGCAGGCTTGGTGTCCAAAGACTGGCATTACTGGACCGTTGACATCCTGGTGATATTCTGGAGATGACAGATTTGGAAAGAGTTGGAAGGCCCAATTAAATCATAACCACTAAATGACAAAGGCAGGAACTTAAGTAAAGAATGGCTTATCTGGAGGAAGGTGTACAAGGCATGCTACACCTATCCAAAACTCTTGTGGCCCATTATACTTTACTGGGGCTGAGGGGAATATATTAGGATTTCCCTCCTTCCAGATATCTGAACCCTTCCTGTCCAAGCCATCAAGACAGAAAAGGGAAAATCAGTTCTAAAGTGAAGTCCACAGATCTCCCAAACTGCTCACCAACCCAACCACTCAGTTCAGCCAAACCACTGAGTTTCAGGGGGCGATGATGAAGAATTGGCTCCTTAAGTGAGGCCTATATTGCAACCAATCACTCAAGTAATGAAGTCATAGGCATATGTCCTATGAAAACAGAAGAACACACAGGTTAATTTGCACAATAGTCCCCAAACCAGTCTCTGTGCCTGTGAGACTGTCTTTTGGGAAGACATTCAGTTACGAGGTCTTTCCTGCAATGACATTTAGCAATGGCAATTTGACAGGTCTTTCATACCTGTAAATTGTACATCTTTGATGATATTACAAAACCAGTTTCAACTTTCAAACGAAAAGACATTTTCAAGACAGCTGCGTCATTCTGATGTCCAATACTGAGCATTGTGGTTTTCCTTGAACCACAATTTTTCTCCTTAAGATCACCCTCACTGCTATTAAAGGGACTACTTTGAGTTCTGTTTTTTATTTTGACTGTTCGTTTGCATAAACACACCAAGAGCAGCCTGAATTACTTATGATTCTTGATTCTGCTTTGCTGGAATTCACACAGGGAACCTTCAGATTGACTTACCACTCTGCGCCTCGGGGCACAGAAGCAGGGCCACACATCCGCCATCTGGCTTCGTCTGTCCTAGTTGTTTCACTCAGATCCTTGAGGCTTCCATTGTGCCCACAGGTTTCTTTTTGGCCATCTTTCATGAAAGCAACCTCTGTTCCTTCCCTGGAAAGACTGCCATGAACTGCACAACCAACTGAAGTACCAGGCTTTTCTCGTGGGCTTACACTAGCTTTGCAAGTCAATCCCAGTTCCTCAGGGCTTTCTGGTGACAACCAGAGCCCACACATGCCTCCTTCAGACGTGACATTCCAGTCAAAGTCTTGGTTAACAAAACTACTATCAATGACTGGTCTTATTGGTTTTATGCAAAGAAACCTTATGCCTTTACTCACTCCTTCAGAATGTCAAATTCTGGAGGGATCAGGTAGGGAGAAAAATACAAAGCGTGAAGGAAAATCCTTTCCCTTCTGATATCTACTGGGCTTCTCAAAACCTTCACTTCCAGACATTCTGGAACACTCACAAACCCTCTATTCTTTCTTTCATACAGCTTCTGATATCCACCAAGATTGCATCTCCATGTCTTATACTTTCTATTATTAACTAACACAACATAACTCCTTCTTAAAACTTTTACTTTCCCATTTATTTTTGCAGTTTTCTACAGACCTTCTTCATTTATATATATTATATTTTTTATTTACTTTCCTACAGAGTGTGAAGTTTCAACCTTCCCTGGAATCTTCAATTTCCTTTTTAGAGCAGATACAGAGCAAAATCCAAAACACAGAGTTCCAGAACAATACACAGGTAGGGGCATTCTCTTGCACCAGTGTATCCATCGGTGCCTTGCAGAGACATGCTCCTTCAGGCCCGGTCTTTTGGCAGAGACATGCTGCTTTGCCTCTGGCTGAAGCACTCATCAGCCCCAAATGACCTTTCCTGGGTCCCGAATGGCAAAGGCATTCTCCCCAACCGGTTACAGGCGACCTTTCTTAGGTCTTACAGGTGACCTTAAACAGGTCTTCAAGTATAGAGGGTTTCTGATCAGAAACAATACCAATGTTAGAAATTTGCTCTTTTCCCACAGAACCAGAAAACAAATAGTTGAGGTTTCCTTTACTCCAGGTTTAAAACTTTACATTCTTTATACATAATTTTACTCATTCAGATTTAACCATCATTCTCTTTTAATCCTGGTTCCTTTCCCATTCTGGGAAGGACTATACTTAAATTCAGCATGTGGCAGCCCAAAGTCCCTGGCACTGCAGGTACCTTCCACTAAAATTCCCTAGATTTGCAGGGACATCCTGCAGTTTTCTGAAGCTCAGACCCTGCAAACACCCTATAGGTCAGATGTTCACCCTTGGACCTCAGTTCATGTCCTTCAGAACCAGAGCCATTCTTATCAGAACCAGTTACACAGAGAACCAGACTGATGCAATGCCAACACAGCAGCAGCATACAGCCCATAATCCGAAGAGAGCCCTTAGCCTGGCACCTTGCCCAGTTCTAAGATGGAGAGGCTCTCACGTGACTCATCATCCAAGATGACTACAACCATGCACGCTCCACCCTCCACGGTGGGGCAGTCACATGGTTCATCCTCCATTTTACCCAAAGTGGCGGCGTACTCACATGGCTTGCTGTCCGATCTCCAACATACATACAATATAGTACTGTGGCAGGACCCCCCGCCCCATGATGAATTCTCCCGATCAGCGCTGACAGACAAGGGAAGGGACTCTCAGGTCGCCCGCCTGGCCTCGCCCCTCTCGGGGCACTTAGGTTCCGTCTTAGCTAAGGCTGCCCGTATAGAATTCGGGTTAAACTCCCAGCCGTTATGCCGTATGACAGACCGAGGAACCGCGGGTTGGGCTCACTCACGCTCTGTAGGCTTCCACCCGTGGAGCAACCAACACAGTCCTTCACACAAACACACCGAGTTTATTACATTCCCACCTGCCCGAACTGTGGGAGCCCTGCCTGGGCCTTCCAGCCTGAGGGGTGATCGGTCCCTCCTTCCACTCCAAGAGTGGGCCTGGTTTTCGGGCTCCTGGTCCCTGTGGGGCACTTACCAGATTCCAGATTGGCGCCTTCCCAGATACCACCAGTTTGCACCCTGCCAGCCTGGGTCAAAGAGCATTCCGAGGGCTGAGCCTGCGAAGCCTGGGATGTTCAGGACCCGAAATCACCAGGGTGCTCATGCCTCCTTATCACCACTGGGCCCCACCAGCCGCCCCGCAGCCACCTTCACTGGCGGCAACAGCCTGCTCGTGTGAGTTGCTTCCCTGTCAGGGAACCAAAGTGTTATGGAAAAGACGACTCAGGTGGCCTCGGAGTTTGTGAAGTGGGGTTTATTCACGCATGCAGACCCAGAGGAGATAAAAAATCCAAATTCTGAGCATTGAGCTCAAGCTGAAGTTTCCTTATATGCTTGTTACACAGGCAGAAGGAGGAGGGGAAGGAGTGCAGCTGCTAAAATGGGGGTTAGTGTACGACCTGAGATAACTGTTTATCTGGGAAAGGCTGCTGTCTGGGAACAGCTGCTGGTCAGCTCCTACCTAAGAATGGCTACTGCTCAGCTATGTCCTGTCACAAGACCACCCTATGTGGTTACTTCTGGTCTCTAAGTTTGTAATACCTGCCTCGAGGGCCTTCCCTGACCTTGTCAGGTTTAGTAAGTAGCTCCTTTTTGTCCACAGCTTTTAAACAGTAGCTAAAGCTTTAAGTCAAAGAAAGGAATCTGAAACATAAGCAATAAATATTTCCAGTTTCTAATTTGAGTAAGAAGATAAAAGTAATACTTTTATTCTCAGAAACTGAAATAAATAGTTATTAAGCCTTCTTTTGTATACTCACTTTGGTATATACTGGGAAGAAATTAAATAATATGAAAACAGCTTAAACACTGTGTGGGAATGATATTTATCTCCTCACCAAATGGCTACTCATTTGTAAAAAAACAAAAGCAATGTGTAAAGACCTAGCACAGTACCTGGTACTTGGTAGTTACTCAGTAAATGGTAGTTTTCCATTATTCTTTTTATCTTCCTCAGAAGGATACCGGACATGGAATCTTCTGCAGTCCCTATTTTGTTAGCATTAACTTAAGTTCTTTTATTTGGACAGGTACTGCTCACATGATAGAGGCTGATGTCCTCCTTGCAAGTAATGGGTCAGACCATGGCCAGCCAATCATGGCTCATCCTCCTGAATCAAGCAGTGATAATACTCTACAGGAGTGGCTGACTGAAGTTGTGAAAAGCAATAAAGGTATCAAGCTGGATTTCAAGAGGTATTTGTACAAATATGTTCAATCTTCTGGTTGTTACAGAATAACTTTGGTGGTGGGACAAAGTTAATATCCTCTTATGTCTAAACTTAACTTTGCGCTTTTATCTAAACTGAAATGGGGCCCTGGCCAGGCAGCTTAGTTCGTTAGGGCATCATCTGAATGTGCCAAGGTTGTGGGTTCGATATCTGATATCTGGTTAGGGTTTATGGAGGCAACCAATGAATGCATAAACAAGTGGAACAACAAATCCGCGTCTCTCTCTCAAATCAATAAATTAAACAACAACAAAACTGTCTCTGATGATAATTATTTCTTTTAAATGTATTTTTAAATGGTTTATTACAATTTTGAGTATGTTTTTTATTGTTACGCCCATTTCTAAATGAAATTAATAGGAAAATAGGATGTGATACTCAGAAGTTTGACATACAAGTAACTATTTAGAAAAATAACCTATTCTATAAAAAGTAAGTTTGTGGTTCTTTCTAGGGATTTAGGAAAGTACTAAGCAAAGAGAAATTTTAGGCAGTATTCTGCTCAAGACTTCCCTCTTCGAATGATCAGCATGGCAAACCCTTCGGCAGTTCTTCACAGGAAACCTAATACTGATACAGGGAACGAGTGAGAATGTTGGCCACTGGTATTTTCAATCAGAGTTACATGGAATTTATAGATTATCTAGGAGTGATGGGTCATTCTGCAATATTTACAATGTTGATTCTTTCAGGCTTTTCCTCCATATTTACTCTTCTAGAATTATTTTGTCAAGTTCTAGAAAAACTAAGAAGTATAACAACAAAAGTTTAATTTTTTCTTAGTAAGGCTTTATGTTTTTCTTAATATAGGTTTTGTTTTTCTTATTTAAGTTTCTGGTAAGGGAAAGAATCATTACTTTTTGCATTTGTATTCTACATTAGTGGTAATTAAAATATTTACATATAAAATGGAATATGTGTATTAAATTCTTACTTCATCATGTTCTGTGTCATAGCTTCTTACAGCACAGTGCTTTACATTTGGTAGACACTTATGTATGCTGGTGGAATTTCAGGTTGGGGGAGAAAATGCTATTTGACACTAGATATTGTCAAATGGAAAAACCAATGTTAAATAGCCCCATGTCAGCTTATTGAATTGAGAAAGCCTAAAAAGTTCCCACAGCCTCTACGGACACCAGATTTCCTAAGAAATCAGAGTCTTTTCCGGAAGAGAGTTTCAGGGTTTCCCCCTACTGCACCCAGGAAGAGCATACCCCCGTTGGACTTGCAGACAGGTAAGCTTTGGAGTTACAAGTACAAGTTACTTGCTACTAAAAATGGGAAAATTTGTAGGAAGTACAATGTCAGATTCTTAGAATTGTGGTTTTTAACATGGTATGGATACCCTTCAAGGCAGAGAGCATTTGAGACAGAGAAATGACAGCATCTAAATTAGAGTCTGCAAGATCCGAGTTTATTACTCTACTAAAGTCTAGGGCATCTAATAAAAAAGAATGAAATCTTACCATTTGTGACAACAAGGACGGGCCTAGAGGGTATTATGCTAAGTGATATAAGTCAGTCAGAGAAACACAAATAAAATATGATTTCACTTATGTGTGGAACCTAAAGAACAATATAAATGGACAACAAAATGGAAACAGACTCATAGATGCGGAGAACAGGCTGATGGTTGCCAGAGGAGAGAAGGGTTGGGGGACTGGGTGAAAAAGGTGAAGGGATTGAGAAGTACAAATTGGTAGTTACAGAATAGTCATGGGGATGCAAAGTACAGCATAGGGAATATAGTCAATGATATTATAACAACATGTATGGTGCCAGTTGGGTACTGGAAATATCGGGGGGACACTGGGTAAAGTATATGATTGTCTGACCTCTATGCTGTATACCTAAAACCAATACCAACTAATATTGAAGGTAAACTGTAATTGAAAAAATTTTTTAAACACACACACACACACACACACCACACACACCTAGGGTCTCCATTCCAGGGGCAGAAGAAGGAGAAAAAAGAGCTTACTATATGGGAGCAGAGTGAAAGGCTGCAGGCTGGTTCCCTCTGGTTTTACTGCACAGTATCCTTGCTCACTAATAAACAAGACCCAAGAAATCATGGGATTATCAGTTTCTCTTCTTAAAGTAGAGGGCCCAACAGCAATGGAGTGAAAAGCAGTAGAAGCATAGGCCGAAGGATTTCAGTCCCTGAGGTAGAAAGAGGAATGTGAGAAGAGGGTGCTGAATGTTTTTCCCTCTAACACCCATCTCCAAAATTCTTCACTTCCCATTGCAGTTTTCATTAAAAGCTAATTTTCCTGGAACTCAACATAGGCCTTAAATGTTTAGAAGTAGTTCAGAATTATAACTATAAAGTTTTTGTATATATTTTTTAAAAGGAAAAATTATGTAAGCTGACTGAAATATTATTGTTGCCCTGGCCAGCGTGGCTCACTTCATTAAAGTGTAATCCTGTAACTGGAAGGTTGTGAGTTTGATTCCTGGTCTGAGCACATGCCTAGGTTGCAGATTCAATCCCAGATCTGGGCAGAAGGCAACCCATCCATGTTTCTCTCCTTTCCTCTCTCCTTCCCTTTCTCTCTAAAGGCAGTGAAAAAATGTCCTTGTATGAGTATAAATAAAATTAAAAAACAACTAAATCTTATTGTTTCCAAATCTCTATTTGTCAGAATCGATGTTGGGAAATAAAAAAAGTGAATTTGCTTTTTTATTTAAAAGTAACTAAAATATACTTGTCTCTACTTTCCAGAAAATGTATTTAAAATAAAGGGAAAAAATGAAGTTTATAAAAGCCTTAAGGAAATTTTATAATTTTGCACTTTGCAATCATTTTCAGAAATGTGTTTGTTGTCCAGATTCACACAAGAATACATGAAGGAAAAAAGGTTCCTTTCTCCAAGGTCACGAGCCACTACTAGGGATGTGGTGCCTGTGTGCACTTTGAGTATTTTCATCAGTGTGAATTTGTAGGTTATGAGTTTCTCTGATTTTAAAACCTTATTTATATATTCTCTGATGAGTGACTGTATCTTTTTTTAAATTGTTTTTATACTGGGTTATCCTAATATTCAGTTTTGAAACCTCCATCTGTCCACAATTGCCATTATTTATACATTTATAGAATCTTTAAGGTGCCTTCATGAATAATAAGTGGACATATTGCAAATGGCATATGTTAACTTTCCTCTCTGGTGCTATGTGATCTTTGATTTTATTTAATTCAGGTGCTGTTGTATTAAACTTTTTAAAAAGAAAATCCTCACCTGAGGATATATTTATTAATTTTTAGAGATGGGAAGGGGGAGAGAGGAAGGAAGGAAGGAAGGAAGGAAGGAAGGAAGGAAGGAAGGAGGGAAGGAAGGAAGGAGGGAAGGGAGGGAGGGAGGGAGGGGGGAAGGGAGGGAGGGGGGAAGGGAGGGAGGGAGGTCAGTTACCTCCTGTATGCACCCCAACTTGGGATCAAACCTGCAACCCAGGTTTGTGTCATGACAGGGAATTAAACCTGCAACCCTTTGGTGCATGGGATGATGTTTCAACCAACTGAGCCTTCTGGCCAGGACTGTTGTATTATACTTTTATTATGAATTTGAGAACATTAAAACCACCAGTCTAAAAGAACTTTTTTTTACTCTTTATGAATATCTCTCATTGACAACAAACTATTTTCAGTCTGGCAGCTGTAGAACTGTCCATGGTGCTCTTGGAAAATGTGAAGAGGCATCTGAGGCGTCCTGTGTGGATTAATGCTGATATTCTTCCTGGTCCGAATGGGAATAGCAGAGTAGTGGATGCAAAACCTTTTATAGACACTGTGACATCCTTCTTTCCAGACTTGACATTTTCCCTGGGTTGGACAACAGGATGGCATCCTGAGAAAGTCAATGAAGGTAATAATTTCAAAAATGTATTTCTTCTTGGTCAAATTAAAATATACTCCTAATATAAAAATACCTTTAATACAAAACAAAAAACACATTCCATAAAATATAAGAGTATAGTGGAGAGAAAGGTCTGGCCCTAAAGATGTGTGTATGGTTCTTCTTTCTATTATTTCAGATAGACACTGCATTCACTGGTGACATTCTGTCACCAAGCTCCCAAGAGAAATATTCATTTGCAAAGTCTAGAGTAATGAAAGCTGCCTCATTAAACAAATCCTGAGTTGGTTTCTTTGAACTTGTAAAATATTCTACAGTCTTTGTTATCTTTGGACTGTGGAGCAAACTCCCTGTGTCAGATGAAAGATAAAGAAGTGGTTAGAAGAGCTCTTCAGTGGTGTGAGGCCGGAGGTAGTGGGGGTGTGGTTGAAGAGCACTTACTCCCTAGACATTGGAGGGGGCTCCAGCTGAGGTGCTGGGACCTTGGTGCCATCACGCTCTCTCTGGCCGGACAGGGGAGTGGGAGGCCCCGTGACTCTCCTCTAGGCTCGATCTCTTCTTCACATAGACCTACAGATGCATCTGATACTTTCAGCTTCATTTTCCTGGCTGACACTTATCACACTAATTCATCTTCCTATTTCTTCATATGTCCCTAGGTAGTGATTTCCAGGTAAACAGCCAGTGAGCAATCAGACACTCTGGGACATCTGTCCATATGGTAAAAATTATAAACTAGGAAGGTATTCAGAACCTGTGGAGATGTTAGCCTTTATCCTGTGTTCAGGGCATTTTTAAAATTACTTATTTGCTATTATTGTTTTTAGATACAAAGTTTTTAAGTCTAACATAGTATTAGAATAACTGCTATCTAGTGAGTAGTGATGTTTAGTTTATAACCCCCTGGACAACAATTGATATGATTGAGAGAAAAAAAATAATGTTTTAACTTAATTCTAGTTTAATGTTCTAATCATTTAATTTTTTATTAGTTTCATTTAAAAATGTAGCATTAAAATTTAAGGCGTTTAAAGAAGGTAAACTAGAAGTGATTTAGTAACTTCCTTACTGATCCTGAATGCCTTTAGTCACTGTTGAACTCAGGCTTTACCCTCAGGCTTGGGCGGGGTTCAACCAGCTCTGTAAGTCACGTTGGCGGTGAGGGTTTTAAGGCTGCTTTTCCCCAGCAGCCACTTGTTACCAGCATGTGTTTTATCCTCTCTTACTTCTTAGGCTAGAAATTTGAGAAAAAACAGTTTATAAGTTTATAGTAATGTATCTATCTTCTGTTAGCAATTTTTTCTAATTATAATATATAATTTTTCAGATTTTAAAGGAAATCAGATATTCTTCTTTCATAAGAAATTTAGCTGCTAAACTAATATGTTCATGTAGGCTTTCTGTAAAATGTTCTCTCACTGACCAATACCTTTTACAACCTGCTTTTAGTAGAGTTTAGGGTTATTTTAAAAATACAATTTTTTTCTGAAATTGTTTATAAAACAGGTAAGTGTTTTCCACAATGTCCTAATATAATTCAAAACACACATATATAAAAGACAATTTCACCACTATTTCTATTTTAGGTAAAATGTATTTGAAATCTAGACTAGCCAGAAATTTAAAAATTGAAGTTAAATGTTACTTAATAAATTCAATAAAAAAGTATATGTAAATAAATTTTTTAAAATTGAAGTTAATTATTACTTAAACAGCTATTAAACACATAGTGCCCATCTTCTCTTGGTAAAGAAAGCTTAATTAACACAAATGGAAAATCTTAGCTTACTGAGAGTATTAATGATGAGCAAGTACCTAAGAATCTTACAATCTTTAAAGGGGCCACTGTGTCAAAATTTGCTTTCTTTACATTTGTCATATTAATCAATTCTTTTTAATATTTAATGTTTAATTAAATTTTCTGTAGATCACTTGTGGCACCATATTAAATTTAATTTTTATCTACATTTTCCACCCAAAATATTTTCTTGCATTAAGTGGTATTTTAATTCACTTTGAATTCAAATGGAAATTTATATGAATTACCTATGAATTTGCATATGTAATTTAGCTTTTATTTAATTGACTTTAGTATTACAAAAAAAGTTAAATTTCTTCCTTTTCATTTCAGGCTACACTTGGACAATGGTGAAGGAAATGGAATGCATCTGTAGTGAACTCAGTCAGCCTGTAACATTTCCTGTCAGAGCAGCATTAGTCAGGCAGTCTTGTTCTCAGTTACTCTGGCTGTTAAAGAAATCAAACAGGTGTGTATAAGTTTAACCATACTGTGTGTGTATGTGAGTGTGTATGTGAGTGTGTATGTGAGACGGAGGCAGAGGATGAAACTGATTATGTCAAGACAGTGTGTGTGAGAGAGAATGAACACTGACTCTGTAAGCGCACAGATGCCCCCATTCGAAGGAAGCTTCTTAATGAACCTTAACATCTATTTCTGTTTTTTCACACAGTAGGTGGCCAGTGAATGTTACTTTTTCATTGTTATACATTCACAAAAAGGTAAAAATGGATAAAATAGTTTCCCTCTGAATGATATATTATAATTTCAGAAGTCTGTTCCATAAAAACTTTTGTCATTTTACTATGTAATAAAAACTAGTTGGACCATCTATTAAATGTTAAAATATATTATAAAGGTACAGATATTGAAACAGTTTTGATACTATTATTTTCAATAGATTAGTCAGTAGAAGAGCAGGGAAAGTCCAGAAATAAACCCAAATTATTATGGAACTTAGTATAGAAAATAGCTGGCATTTTAAGGCATTGGTGCAAAAGTTTAATTAATATTTCATGTTGGGTCAAGAGGCCAACTATGTAGGAAAAACAAAGCACCTTTCCTTAATACTTCTTCCAAAATAATTTCCAGAAGAATTAAAGATTTAAACATCAAATATTAAATGCATAAAGAAAAAAATAGATAATTTTTATATAGTTTTAGAATAACGAAGACCTTTCTTAGTATGGCACAAACCCTAGTGCTATAAAAGGAAAGTTGGATATATTTGAATACATAAAAATGGAAAGATTCTGGTAAAACTATCCTCAATACATTTGTCAGATGTAAAGAATTTTAACAAATAATGAATTTGCACAAATCATCCAGTAAAAGACCCAGTTTGATAATTTACCATATTGGAGAGAGTAAGGGAAGCAGACACTCATACATTAAAGAAGTACCCATATTCCTGTGGACATTGAAATTTTACCAAATGCCTTGTCAATTTTTAATAAAATAACTATTTCCTCCCTATATCTATTAATAAAATAAATCTTATTAATCTCTATAGTACCATCCTCACATTCCCAGAACAAATCCCACTTGATCACAAATTATGACTTTTAAGGTGCTGCTTCATTTTTATTGCTAATATTTTACCTAGGATTTCTGCATTTGAAAATGAGATTGCCCGGCCCTGATTGGTGTAGCTCAGTTGGTTGGGCATTGTCCAGCAAAGCAAAAGATCACTGGTTCCATTAACTGTTAGGGCACATGCCTGGGTTGTCTGCCATCCCTGATTGGGGCACATGGGAGAGGCGGCTGATCCATGTTTTGATGTTTCTCTGCCTCTCTTTCTCCCTCCTTTCCCCCATCTCTAAGAACAAATAAATAAAATCCACTAAAAAGAAGAGAAAGAAAGGGAAGGAAGGAAGGAAGGAAAGAAGGAAGGGAGGGAGGGAGGGAGAGAGGGAGGGAGGGAGGGAGGGAGGGAGGGAGGAAGGAAGGAAGGAAGGAAGGGAGGGCGGGTGGAGAGAGATTTCCCTGGCCAGGTAGCTCAGTTAGTTAGAGTTTTGTCCTTAGTGCCAAGGTTGCAGGTTCAATCCCTGGTCAGGGCACTTACAAGAAACAATCAATGAATGCATTAAATAAGTAGAACAACGGATCCATATTCTCTCTCTCTCTTTCTCTCTAAAATCAAAAAAGAAAGAAAGAAAGTGACATCGATCTGTAGCTTTTGTTTCTTTTCAGTTTTTAGGTAGTGACATTTCATTCTTTTTATGTGTTCTGAAATGTTAAAAGTAACGTTGAAATGGCCTGTACTTGACTTGGTAAACCCAACTGTGAAGCCAAGGTTTCTGTTCCCCAAACCTTATGCTTTGGGGAAAGCCTAACTCATAAAAATCTTTCCTATTATTTATATGGTAAATGGTCTACTTGGATTTTCTGTTTCTTTGGGAGTGAGTTTTGATATATTTATTGTATTTTCCTAGAAAATTGTTCCTCTCATCCAGGTTTTAAAATTTATTTATACATAGACACTTAAAATGGTTTCTTATTCTTTTAGTTTCTTCTGTGTCATTAAAATAATTTTCTATGTTTTTTTTTTGAGCTTTTCTTCTTGCTTCTTGATTGAACTAGATAATGATTTCTCTCTCTTTTTTTTTTTAAGAGCTAGATCTTGGATTTATTTATTTTTCGGTTTATGACTTACTAATTTCTGCCTTTTATCTTTTAAAACCATGTTATGTAGTAGTTTATAATTTCTTGAGTTGGATACTGAAATTATTTATTTTCCATGTATATACATTAGTATATATGTTAATATAAGCATTTAAGACAATTACTTTTTTTCTGTGACCACTGCTTTAGCTGTATTTCATTGTTTCTTATGTGTAGGTTGTCATCACTGTTAAAAATATTCTGCAGCTGTGGCTTATTTCCTTTGCCTCAAAAGTTGTTTTAAGATAAATTTGTTTAGGCATTTAGGTTGTAGAATTATTTTTTATTTTGGCTTTGTTAATACTTTTTTAGGTTTATTGCAATCAGATAATTTCTATATTATTTTTACTTTGTAAACTTTATTAATGTTTTCTTAATGGCTTAATATATGGATATTTGTATGAATTAATGTATTTTATGAGGATATTATATGGCTGTTACAAACAGAAACCTAAATTAACAATAACTTAAATAAGTCTGTTTTACAGTGATAGGGCCCAGAATCCTCTTATCTTGGTGCTCCACTTTCCTTAGGTCGTTGATTTCATTTATACTTGGTCAGATTGATTATTGCCACATCTGAGGTTCAGTTGGTATGGAGGAGGGGAGAAAGAGAAGCTCAGGGCATGTTACTCTCCTTTAAGAACATGACTTAGAAATTGCACACACTCATTGGCCATAACTTAGTCGTGTGCCTATACCTAGCTGTAGGTGAAGCTGGGAGATGTAGCTGTTATTCTGTCAAGTCTTGTATCTAGATAGGACTCGGGACTGTTATGTAAGAAAGAAAGGAGTAAACTACAACTTTTGGTGACACATTAGCATACACTATTGGTTATGTTATATAAGTCTTTTATACCTTTTTGTTTGCTTTAAAAATATTTTTAATTTAGGCCTTTGAATAAGTAATACATTTATGAAGCTCAAAACCCAAAGAATGGAGTTACACTGTGGAAAGCCTCTTCCCATTCACCCAGCTCTGCCCAACCTCTCTAACCACATTTGTTAGTTTCTTATACAACCACAGTTAGTAGTTTTTTTATGCATATGAGTGAATGCAAAGAAGGAGTCTTACTTTCTCTTCCTTTTAAAAACAAAAGGTAGCATATTACACACCTTGCTTCAGTTTTGTTTTTTTTTTAACTTAGCAGTATGTCTTGGATCTCTTTAAATGTTCCTTGTTTTTCCTTTCTAGGTGCATCATGTTTATGTATTATGTACTAGAATTTAACCAGCCTCATGCTAATGGGCGAAAAGGATGTTTCTAATCTTAGATATTACAGATAATGCAATAATGCACAACCTTTTGAATGTGTCATTTTGCATATGTGCAAATATATGGCATCTTTAATATTTTGGCCACTTGCTCTCTTACCAACTAAGAGAGTTAAAGTTGACAACTAGTAAAATGTTTTTTCCTGTTTTCTCTTCTACCTTTATAGTTTTTTCTTATTAAATGATCATGATATGAACACTTGGTGCATATTCATATCAATTTTATCTTTTTCTGTGAAGAAAAGATTTAAATTCTACAGAAGGATACGAAAAAGACTTGAGTAAATATAAACATAAGCATTGTTCTTGGTTAGCAAGACTCTGCATCATTAAGATAAACATTTGATGAGATCACAATAAAAACACAAACAGGATTTTGTTTTGGAATCAGATGAACCATGTCTAAAATTCTTTTTTTTTTTTTTTTACTTTATTTCTCCACATAGCTTTTCATCTGTTTTTTCAGCTTAGAAGTAGAAATGCAACCTGATTTATTTATTTGTTTAGCCTCACCCTAGGACATGCTTATTGACTTTATTTTTTTCTTTTAATTATATGTTATTGATTATGCTATTACAGTTGTCCAAATTTTTCCTCCTATGCCCATCTCCACGTAGCAACCCCCACTCCCTCAGGCAATCCTCACACCATTGTTCATGTCCATGGATCACAGGTAGGTTCTTTGACTACTCCATTTCCTAAATTGTACTTTTATCCCCATGGCTATTCTGTAACTACCTATTTGTACTTCTTAATCCCCTCACCTCTTCATCCATTCCCCCAAAACCCCCTCCCATCTGGCAACCATCAAAATGTACTCCATATCCATAATTCTGTCTCTGTTCTTATTTGCTTAGTTTGTTTTTTTAGATTCAATTTTTGATAGATTTGTGTATTTTGCTGTTTTATTGGTCATAGCTTTCATTTTCTTTTTCTTAAATAAGTCCCTTTAACATTTCATATGATAACATATAATTGGTCTGGTGATGATAGAACTCCTTTAGTTTTTTCTTGTCTGGGAAGCTCTTTATCTGCCCTTCAATTCTAAATGATGTATTTCCTGGGTAGAGCAATCTTGACTGTAAGTCCCTGCTCTTCATGGCTTTGAATATTTCTTGCCAGTCCCTTCGAGCCTGCAAAGTTTCTTTTGAGAAATCAGCTGACAGTCTTATGAGAACTCCCTCATATGAGAACTCCCTCATAGGTAACTAATTGCTTTTCTCCTGCTGCTTTTAAGATTCTCCCTTTATCTTTTACCTTTGGCATTTTGATCATGATGTGTCTTGGGGTGGGCATCTTTGCATCCATCTTGTTTGGACTCTCTGTGCTTCCTGGACTTTCATGTCTATTTTTTTCATCAAATTAGGAAACTTTTCTTTCATTATTTTTTCAAATTGATTTCCAATTTCTTGCTCTTTCTCTCTTCTCTGGCACCCCTGTGATGGGAATGTTGGACCTCTTGAAGTTGTCCCAGAGGCTGCTTACACTGTTTTTGTTTTTCTGGATTCTTTTTTCTTGTTGTTGTTCTGA